TAGGCGTCTCTAGTTACAGTCTGCTCAGCACCTCACATGTCATTTGGGATGATCCCCCTCAAGCTCTTTGTTTCTTTTTTTAAAAATTTTTTTGGATGTTTATTTTTTTGAAAGAGAGAGAAAGAGAGAGACAGAGAGAGACAGAGTGTGAGCAGGGGAGGGGCAGAGAGAGAGAGGGAGACACAGAACCCGAAGCAGGCTCCAGGCTCTGAGCTGTCAGCACAGAGCCAACTCGGGGCTTGAACACATGGCCTGTGAGATCATGACGTGAGCCGAAGTTGGACGCTTAACCAACTGAGCCACCCGGGCGCCCCTCAAGCTTTTTCTTATGTGGTGTTTGACTTTGCCTCTTGGAACGACCTCCTGTGGTTGACGGTGAATCACATTTAGGTTCTTATCTACACACCGGTACCTCGTTCTCTTTCCTACCCAAAGTGTCTTTTCTCCTAGGTGGATGGATACCTCTGGCTCCTTCAACTCATCTTTACCAGGTAGGGTTTCTTCTCCACTGCATTCCGGTTTGGGCAATGTTCACATTCAGTGTCTTGCCTGGGACCTAGCACAGGGCTCTGGATGTAGTCTCAGACCACTTTAAAATCCCATCACATGCTAACCTGTCATTCTAGCTGACCATAAGGTTAGCATGTGATGGGCTTTGAAAACAAAGCCAAACCCAAAACTTCCTGCCTAAGATCAGCAACAGGCAGCATTGTTTGAAACAGCAAAGCGTATCTGTTGATAGGAGACTGGCTAAATAAACTGGTTTATCCACACAGTGGATTCTCTGCAGCAGGAACAAAGAGAACCTTCCACTGCTAAGTGAAAAAAGCAAGGTGTTTGATGATGAATGTAGTGTTCTGCTTTTATGCAGCCAACAGGGTAAGATTAGAAAATATCTACCTGCTTACGCTTGTGTATGGAAGCCCTGGGAAGGAAGAGCAGTTACCCACACGGTTGAGCGGGGGTGTTGGGGGCAATTTTCTGCGTGCCTTCGGAGCCAAGGCCCGGCAGTGTTTGTTGTAGATTACCTTTTCAAGGATGTTTTGTAGAAACGGCCTCGGAAGACAGAACATCTCTCTCCAGGGCAGACAAAGAGTTTTGTCTGCTATCTGGTGAAATTCAAATAATGTTTCCCTCCTAGGCAAAGACTGGGCAGGCTTGTTGTCAGCCCCGTATGAATGATTGGAGGTTCCTGGACTCAGATTCCTCGGCTGTGAGGCAAATCTGCTGTACGTGCGACTTGGGGGCAGGGAGAACCGTGAACTTCAAGTTCACGTGTCTGCTGTGCCATGAGCAATACATCCTGTGTCCTTTATCTAATGGGCACGTGCCTTCTGCTGGTATCCACGAGGAAGTGGCAGGCTTACTTGTTAGCCTACGGGTAGGATAAGATCTTAGACCCTTCACAGTTCTTGACGGAGAAGAGACACATGGGGATGTGCTGTAGGATGAGACTTTTTATTGTGTATCTTCTCATAGCATTAGGTTTTGAACCATATGATTGTGTCTATTACCTACTCAGTCATAACTATCATGACATTTGAAATAAAAATGTTACTCTTGTAAAAAAAAAAAAACAACTTTTGTCATGTAAATTTAGATTAAGTTAGTGGAAGTTTTCTGCAGATTATGGGAAGTGATGATTTCTTGGCATCCCCAAGGTGGGCAGAATTAAGTGCCCAGTAGAACTCTCCTGATTCCTGGTTCCATAATTTGCCAGGAATTAATCTGTTATCTATCTATCTATCTATCTATCTATCTATCAATCATCTGTCTCTGTCTCTATCCCTTACCTGTCATCTTTGTGAGAGATAATCTGACCTCTGATACCTCTCTGTCGGTAAGGAAATGGATTAATATAATCCGGCGTTCCCATCAGGTTATTTAATTTGGTTGACGTCCAAACTTATTCCTAGAAATTCAAAGTCCTCATTTAGTATAACTAAAGATGTTAACGAAGGCTGAAATGTCTGGTTGAAACCATTGGATACCAATCATTGTAAGTTTTCTAGAACCTTGGGTCATGGACCACAGACCGGATATTTGTGGAAAGAGAAGCATTTCTGTTCAGATGGAAGAAATGTTTGCTCTTCCAAAGTCATATTTTACCACCTTGGACAAGATCTTAGACATTTTGGAAGGGCCAAAGAACTTGAAAAACAAAGGTCAACGGGTGGAGGGGAGGAGAGTTCATATACAGTTCTAGGCGTATAATAATATACACGCTGGGTCAGTGTTCTAGATGCTCTCGAGTGTTAGTTCAGATAATCCTCACCTCACTCCTCAGTGCACAGAATACATTCTTTGCTTGGCTTCTGGGACACCAGCTCTCCTGGTTTGGCTCCTACCTCACCGTCCACTCCTTCTGAGTCTCTCGTGCTGCGTCCTTGAGACAGAGAGAGACAGGGCATGAACGGGGGAGGGGCAGAGAGAGAGGGAGACACAGAATCGGAAGCAGGTTCCAGGCTCCGAGCCGTCAGCCCAGAGCCCGACGCGGGGCTCGAACTCACGGACCGCGAGATCGTGACCTGAGCTGAAGTCGGACGCTTAACCGACTGAGCCACCCAGGCGCCCCCAAAATGGATTTTTTTCAAAAAATGTGTATTTATTTATTTTGAGACAGAGGAGCGTTGCGGGGGCATGCGTGGGGGGGAGGGGCAGAGGGAGAGGGAGAGAGAAGAGAATCCCCAGCGGGCTCCATGCTGCCCGTGCAGAGCCCTAGGCAGGCTCGATCTCACCTGAGCCAAAATCAAAAGCCAGATGTTTAACCAACTGAGCCACCCAGGCGCCCCTACAAAACGGGTCTTAAATTAGCCGTATCGTTTTTCACCCAGCCGACAAGAACTCGTTCGCCTTTATTTCTAAAAGCATTCAGGGGGTGCCTGGGGGGGCTCAATTCGGTTGAGCATCTCACTTGGGCTCAGGTCATGATCTCACAGCTTGCGAGTTCGAGCCCCGGTCGGGCTCTGTGCTGTCAGCACGGAGCCTGCTTCGGATCTTATGTCCGCACCACCCCCCCGCCCCCGTCTGCCCCTTCCCTGCTTGTGCTCTCTCTCTCTCAAAAATAAATAAATCTTAAAAGCAAAAAAAGCATTCAGACAAGTCCGAGAAACATTGCAAACGATTAGCTCAGGGTATATCTCTGGCTTTGGCTGCCATAGACTGTAGTTCTAATATTGTGGAGAGTCATGACTTCCACATACAGTAGGACACCCACAGTGAGGAGGTGATGCCCAGAGAAAGGAGTCCACCATCACGCCAAAGGTCCCCGTCCTGTGGGCAGATGCTGATGGGCAGGTGAGGCTATAGAGAGCCCAGGTTTCTTTGAGTCAAGAACACTGCGGATCAAGTCCCAACTTAGCCGTTTGCTCTCTGTGTGATCATAAGTTAGGGAATTTCTCTGAGAGGGAGACACGGAATCCGAAGCAGGCTCCGGGCTCTGAGCTGTCCGCGCAGAGCCCGACGCGGGGCTCAAACCCACAGAACCGTGAGATCGTGACCTGAGCCGAAGTCGGACGCTTAACCGACTGAGCCACCCAGGCGCCCCGAAATGTTCATTTTCTAATCCCTTCAAGACCACATGTATTCAGAAAGTCTCCTGTTTTTATCTTTTTCTGGCTTAGGTCCAATGGTTTAGTGGAATGCATGCAAATGGAATCAGGAATATTGAAGAATATGTGACAAAGGTGATGTTCGAAGCCTGAGGAGGAGAGGGTGGTTATTCACCCATTTATAGAGAAGGAAATAGATGGCACTTCGTGCCACATATCAAACTAAATTCACAGTGGGTTAGAGATGCGTAGGTATGAAATGTTGAACCGCAAAGATACTAAGATATATACAAACATTCATGACATCTGGGATGTGGATGTCCTCACTGAATGGAACCCCAACGCGATAATAGCGTGGGTTTTAGAGCAAAAGGGCACAGGATCAAGTCCCAGTTCTGCTGTGCACAGAATAGCCTCAGGCAACTGACCAAGCTTTGCCAAGCCTCTGTTTGCTCATCTACAAAGTGGGGATGGGAAAACCTACCTTGCAAAGTTGTGAGATCAAGCAAACTACGTGAAATGTTTGGCCTAAGGAAGGTTCAATTACCACTGACTTTTTTTTTAATGTTTATTTTTGAGAGAGAGAGAGTGGAGGAGGGGCAGAGAGAGAAAGAGAGAGAGGGAGAGAAGGAAAAAGGATCCCAAGCAGGCTCCTGGCTGACAGCAGAGAGCCTGATGCAGGGCTCCAACTCACGAGCCGGGAGATCATGACCTGATCTGAAATCGAGAGTCGGCAGCTCAACCGTCTGAGCCACCCGGGTGCCCCCTAAAGAGAAATTTCTAAGAAAAATCTCCCTTCCCCCAGTCTGGTGGTTGTATGTTAGCTCCACCCAAGCTCAAAGAGGAAAACCAAACATCAAGATCTTTAAAACAAAATTCAAATGCTCTCTACCTCATGTGACTTCCACGTCAAGTTTCTTAGATCTCAGGGTATGGTTTCAGGTGCTGATGAGTATGCGCTTCAGCTTATAATTTGCCCACGTTTTCAACCCACTTACCTTGAGAAAGCGTGTTTGCCAAATCTTCCAGCTGTCCTTGCTAGAAGGAGGCATCTGCCGTTAGTGACAGTTTAATTGGTAAGGGAATTTAGACAACTTCCACATCTTACAACTTTAAAAATTACCTGGGACGCCTGGGTGGCTCAGTCGGTTAAGCATCCGACTTCGGTTCAGGTCACGATCTTAAGGTGAGTTCGAGCCCCGTGTCGGGCTCTGCACTGACAGCTCAGAACCCGGAGCCTGCTTCGGATTCTGTGTCTCCCTCTCTCTCTGCCCCTCCACTGTTCATGCTCTGTCTCTCTCTCAAAAATAAATGAGCATTTAAAAAGTTTTTAAAAATTACCGTCCCCCCCCCTTCTACAACTATTTTCATTATTTGCTCATTGCTTTTTATATGCATACAGTTTCACGATGTCGCGGTCTTACTACACGCACTTTATATTCTCTTCATTTCCCACGACCACTTGTTGGTGATTCCACCTGGTTTTAGCGAACTAGTTTTAGTGACTGTAGAATAATCTGTTGCATCAGTGGACTACGAGTTGTTCAAAATCTCCTTCATGTGTCAAACCTTTCAACAGTTTCCATTTCTCTTGTTTCTTTCTGTTACGAAACGAGGCCACAAGGAACATCTGTACCTTGTGATTTGATTCGGCAGATTTCTTCCCCTTGGGGTAAATTCCTCAGAGTAGAACCGCTGGCTCAAAGCCACGTGTACTTTGTTGATTCTTGTTGTTTATAACATTTCAAAAACTTATTGAACCAAGTTACATTACATCAGCAATGCCTTATTGTTCTCGGCTTGCCCCAACCTCACCAGCATTGATGGAGTGACATCACTTACTTTTTTTTTTAATGTTTATCTATTTTTGAGAGAGAGTGCAAGCGAGGGAGGGGCAGAGAGAAAGGGGAACCGAGGTTCCAAAGCACGGAGCTGACAGCAGAGAGCCTGATGTGGGGCTCGAACTCACAAACGGCGAGATCATGACTCGGGCTGAAGTCGGAGGCTCAACTGACTGAGCCGCCCAGGCGCCCCTACTTTCTTTTTTTTTGACATTCCAAACTTCAATATATTTTCTAAAGAAGAGTCTCTAATTCTAGATGACGGGGGGAGGGGGAGGGCTCCTCTCCTTCTGACTCCAGGAATTGCGAGAGGAAGAGTCCAAGGTCACCGAAGAAAGCAGTTGTGCTCGGGGGTTCCTGTCTCCCCCATCCAGGCTTTGACCAGAGTTAGAGGGTGTGAAGGGCTGTTTGATGAATTGGGAAGGGGACCCTCGCAGACCCTCCTCTCTGCAAGTCGCTTTCTTATTCACATGGGTGGCCGGCACAGTTAAGCTGGTGGTCAGGGGGAAAAATCATTTCATCTGTACCCTCGAGTGTCCCTGGGTTTGTCCATGGCACGGACACGGAGTCAAGGAGCAGTGTGTCTGCTCAGTGCCTGTCAGTTCAGGAGAAGGTGCCAGAAGCCTGATGACGTGGCAGCCACAGAGGGCCCCCCACGCCAGCCAGGGCTGCAGAGGTCACTATGCCCAGGGATGATTGAGAATGAATGGATCGTGAGGCCATGAGCCACGAAACAGCAGGTGCCAGCAGAAAGTTCAGGGTCGGGACCAGGTGGCCCTTCCTCAGCAGACACCAGCCACATGACTAGGACTGACAGAAGACCAGGGCG